GTCAAGTCCCTGAAATTGTTACAACGAATTTAATCATTTGTTGTGCGCAAGACGATTACCTTTTGACATAGTAGTAGCAAAAGTCGGCGAGGATGAAGGTTTGAACGATCTCGGCTATTAGAGCAACCGGGAACCAAAAGTAACCAGCCCCGAGTAGCCATAGGTAATGTCCACGAGTTTCAACGACCTACGTTTTTAGACCATTTAGTCTCGTGAGCTTACTCATGAAAGCTTAATTAATGGATAACAAAATGAACTTTACCTGGATAATCCAGTGAGCGCATGCCAAGAATCTAGCTATTCCGAGCGCAAACACGTAATGAGCTGTGAAAGGCTCTATGATCTGAAACGATTGTTAGAGAAAATGTTAAACTTGTTATTTTTATAACCGGATAAGTTTTTGGACCTAAGTCAAGACTAATCCCGAGACTTGTAGAAAACCAGAATTTCTTACCACTTAAATTTGTCTACATCGGCCTAAGTTTTGAACCTAAGAGAAGCAGATTTTCTTGCCACAAAATATGTCTATATTTGTCAATATAAGTGTAGTGGATGAGACTCGATCCACTAGATCAACATGACGAATATTGAACCACTAGAACATCATACTTGGTTAAAATGCTAAATCTACCGTTTGACAGAACAAATCTAAAGATACATAAAAGCGGCTGACCTGAGCATTTTGCATCAATCGAAGCTGAGGTAGAACAGAGACAGATTCTGTGTAAACGCAAAACGCCCACAAGATACGGTGGAAGTAAGAATAACTCGTACTCGGGTTGATAACCAACGCAAGGATAGCTGATGGTACAAGCTGGTTGGCGAAAAAGCGAGAAACATGTTAATCATTTTGAGAGAATCGAAAAACAATCAACATTTTCACACACTCTTTAAATCAAAAGCATTACCACATAGTAATTGTAGCAAGTGTCTAGAGACTTTATATAAGATGCTTTCAGCTTGTATCGAATCATATAAATGACCCATAGAGTCGAAACCAAGGTGGCGAAATCGAGAACTGTATGGATATCCCCTTCCATGTTTATGCTGCATATCAATCTCACAGCTAGAAATATTGCTGTCACTTCTTGAGACTTTAGAGAAAGACCTAATAATTCAAACCATTTACATATTCTATGAGACAAAACCAAAATGATCCATTGACACAATATAAGCATAAATGTTCACTAGCCAAACTAAAAGAACTTATAAGATTCCACAACATTGACAATATAAACAGAAATGTTCACTAGCCAAACCAAAAGAGCTTATAAGATTACACAACATTGAAACAATATTTAATCACCTTACCAAGAACAAATGTCTACAATTTAAAGTTAAAATTTTTTATGACACGGTGGGATTATTATTGTTACCGGAGCAAGTCTTTTGGCGAGTGAGTTTGTAGATAAGGATCAAGATTCCGGTGGCGTGGATGAGCTCGGAGGCAATGAAAAAGTGATTGTGATTCCTAACGGTGAATTTCAGAAACACGACGAGGATCAAAGAGATGATAATTCCTAAAGCTATCTTAACCTTGTTCGATTGTTGTCTTAGCCACCCGAAAACCATGTTCACGGCGGAGACACCTCTTCTCTTCCCCATGATATGATTATTACAAATCTCTCTTTGTCTGATCTATCTCTGTTGTGTTGTGTATTTCTCAGAGCTTTTATGCGACGTTCGTGAAAGCGAAGGATACGTTTTGTTGAGTGAGCGGAGACACGACGAGGGCATGCGGTCGATGACGTGGCGATTATAATTTTGTGATCTGATCTACGAGTCGTGTTAAGACACGTGTGAGTGATGGTTTTTTGTTTTTGGTATCAAATCTTTAATGCAAATCTTTGGTTTTTGAAGGCCTTTTTATTAGGAAATATATATATTTTTTTTTCCTCAACCTTTTTATTAGGAAATAAAGTTATGTATTTTTGACTATTTTATTGCCCGTTTTGTAAGATTTATCGGAATCATTTGGAGGCCAAAATCAGAATCGTGGACAAAAAAAAAGGTTTAGTTTCTTTTTATTTAATTGAGATATTCAGATCGATTTCACATAAATGTGTAATTATGTACATAATTAAGAGTTTGGATACGACTTTTTTTTCGTTTCTTCCTTAAATATGCGGACACGTCTATATATGGAAACTCACCGGTTCACGATTGAACCAGAAAAATTAGAATACTGGTTTTGGAGTCCAACTTAATTTGTGTGATTTTTTAGCGATGTTCTAACAAGCGAGGTTGCTTATGCCTTTGGCGCTAGGCACTGGCTGCTGGGCGTTTAGGAGACGCGTAGACGACAGCCTCGTCCATCTAAAAACGCATAAAATCTCGTTTTAATGCATTTTTTAGTTTTAAGTAAGTTTTTTTTTTTTTTAACTAAGTTATATATATATATATATATTTATATCCATATTCATAGTTATAAATACTTATATATTACTTGATATAACTAAATAAATGTGTTGTCTAAATTTACTTACAATTTTATATTTTGTTCCTCTTATAGATATTTATGTATAATAATATTTTATGTTATAAACGTTAAAACCAGGTAAAATCTCTTAGGTCTCGGTTAAACATTTTAGGCGCTAAACATTGAATCACCGCCTATATACTGTTTAGCGATTTCTTGAACATTGATTATTTTCTAGTCTTATCGATTTATGGTTTAGTTTTGTTTGGTTTAAAATTTTGTTTATAAAACTGCCATAAAACTAATTATATTTTGGTTTCATACAATTTTAGTTTTGTTGTGTTTGGTTTTAGTTAATAAAAATATTTAAGAGCAACTTATTTAGTCACTAACCAAAACCATGCCAACATAACATTAAACACATGCTTTTGATTGGATTGAAATGGATTGCTGGAACCATCGGTGAATGGTACGTAAAACACTAAAACTAGTGGTGATGAAATAAAAGTACAATATGTTTTTTATTTACTATTTTATGAATGATCTTCATGAACAATAATATATTTGTAATTTGATCATGGCTTTTGCTTTGATATTTTGCTTTAAAGCAAAATTTCCTATACACGTGTTGCATATATTTAAATTAGCATAACTATAAAAAATGTGAAAGTTCATGAATTTATTATTTGTTAAATTTCTAAAAAAACAAAAAATATTATCTATGTGTCACATATAGGTGCTGTTCGTTTGGCAGTCGCAGGAGGCCTGCGATTGCGACTGCGACTGAAAGTTGTTCGTTTGACAGTCGCAGGATCCTGCGACTACTAGCGCGATCAGTCGCAGCGACTCGCGACTAAAATTTTTGATCGCAGGAAAAATTAGCGATGCGATTATTTAAATGGCGATTAGTCGCAGCGATCAGTCGCGCGATTGCTAAACGAAACATCCAGCGATTTTAAAATCGCAGCCGCAGTCGCAATCTCTGGCGATTATGAAACGAACATGACCATACTTAAACTAGTATGAATATAATTGTTCGTTTGTTGGGTGAAAATTCATGAACTTCTATCTCAATATATTGGATATCTAATTTTTGGATTCCATACCATTTTAAGTTTTATTAGTAAGTTCTTAGATTCATGAACGTCATTCTCAATATTGTGTAGTGACTAGAGATACAATTTTCATGCGCCAATCCCTTTTCTTTTCTTTTTAATGTTAAATTACTAATATAATTTTTTATATAAAAAATATAGCTTAAAATAGTATTTTCTAAACATCAAAACTACTTCTCTTTATTTATTTTAACGAATATAAACTAAGTACTCGTTAAACTATTTAATTCACACATATGGGTTTTATTGAATTCACACATTAATTAAAACCCACTTAATTGGTAATGAGTAAATTGCTCATATCGTTTATATATTAGGAAAAAATTTCTCATCTTTCTCATGTGAAAACTTTTTCTACATGTCTTCTCATGATTCTTCTCGACAGAATCATGTCCTTCGAAATAAAGTTCATCTAGTTATCTTGCTGAAATTTAGTTTTTTTTTGAACCATCAATTAGTGAGGTGATCAAGCCAGATGAATTGAACATCGTGTGTTTTAGCTTAATACCATGATAAGTAATACGGAATTCCAACTCAAAAGCAATTGAGAATGAGTCATTGGCTCATAGCCCACATGATGGTGGGCTGGTGGCTTGGCGGGCCCAGGGTGGTTGGGTGCAACTCCTTCCTTTCCATGGTTGAGCTTTGGTCCAATTAGTTTACCTGGTAGTTAGAAATGCATGCGGCCTGACTACCCCTGGCACTTAGTCGGAAGGCATTCTAAACTCGGAATAGGCAGAGTGGTAACCCGTAAGGGCTTAACCGTTAACACGGTGGACCAGTCCACTATGTAGCACCTCGGTGCGTTTCTATCGGGATCGACCAGATAGCCGATAGGATTTATCAAAAAAAAAAAAAAAAGTCATTGGCTCATATAATTTTCCCATAATATATTAACCAAGTTTTTTCCAATTTTTCTGATGTGAGATCTTTCTACACATATTTTTATTGAACCCCCATAGATCGGAAGAGATTCAATAGAAACGATCATTCCGCTTTTATTATAAGTCTTTTGACATATCCATTTTCAAAATTTAAACTTCGAGATGTCGTCGGCTGGTGAAAACCCCTAATTAGATTGTCACTGGTTATTAGCGGATTGTAGTAATATTGGAACTGAGGGAGAAAAATGCTTTCGAAGCTTAACTAGCTAGGTTGTAAAAAGCGATGAATCTGGAAAATGATGATTAGCCTTCGTTAATTTTCTGTAAACTTATGACGCTAATGGCTTGATGTTGTGGCCCTTTTATGGTTTTTTGTTTTTTTTTTTTATAGTGAGAACGACCTAAGACCTCAGTTTAATAGCATCATGACTCTTCTAAAATTGTTTTTTAATCGAATTTGTTATGACTAATTGTTGTGGTTGAATGATCTTAAATATGTGTAATGGGCATCTGGATATTTGTTTTTTGTTTGGTTTATGGTTGTACTTCTTTGGCTATTCAATATTTCAATAATAAAGAAGAAAGAAATTAAATTAAATTTTATTTCATATATCAAAGAATTTATACACATAATAGAGCCCATTATACATATTTTGTTGCAAAAAAATAGATCCCATTGCTTCGTTGAAGAAATTAGTTACTATTACACGTACACGAATTAGTTAAATTCAAACCCCATGAGCATCGCCAATATTGAAGATCAATCCTGTGAAAGTTTTTGAAACATATACATAATATGACTTATGTGGTTGCATAAGTCCATAAAATATGCCATTAGATCTCATGGAGTCTGTCGGCGGCATCGGTTGATTGTGGAGCAGCCACGACTATATGAGTTTACCGGAGTACGTGGTTTATATTGTGGACGCTGACATCCTTTATGAGCATTAGGACGCAAGCATGGATTGAGAATACCCGGATTTAAATATTTCCTCTTGGGATTGTTAGCTTCAACTCGTCCTGCAATCAATATGCTACAAATCACCAACAAGATTATCATAAATGTCTTCATTTTTTTTTTTTTTTTTTTGTTTCTCTCGTTGGTGATTTCAAATATTGTTTCTTTGTTATCTTGTGGCTTTTGTTTGAGATGTGGATATGGGTACATATAGAGCTTTGAGCAGATGCTAGTTTTAGCCAATACATATATGAAAAAAAAATCGGATTCTAAGTTAAGGATGTTAAACATGGTTTATAGCTAGAGATGCTTTTTCGGAATTCCATTGTTTTAAGAGCCTAATTTCTTTTAAATAAATAAATATGAGTAAAACTAACTATGTCAAATTCTTAAGAATATATAATTCACATTAAAAAATAGAATCCAAACATCAAATCTAATCTAAGCCCTACTATGTCCCTTGAGATAATTGGAGAAAAGAAAACTAGGTATATATGATTGTTGATACATGATCCCGAACCGAGAGTCTGGATCCACGGGTAGACATCCACATCATCTTCATGTCATAATGTGAGGACCCACAATCACGATCCGAGTCATCAGGTGGGAGAATTCGAAGATTTTGACCAGGAGCTCGCAGAAGACCAAATATCCATGAAAAACGAGCTGGGTTCATAACGAGTCTTTAGGAAAAAGACCCATAAAAAGCCCAAGGAGGAAAAATTGTATTTATTAGTTTTTTCGGTCTTTAATATAGCGTATAAATATATAGTCTAGGCCTGGACATAATACCCAAACCCGAAGAACCGAACCGAACCCGACTTGAAAAACCCGACCCGAACCCGAATCCGAAGTTTTAAAATACCCGAACGGGTTCTAAACTTCACAACCCGAAAACCCGAACCGGAACCCGACCCGAACTCGAACCCGAACAAGTACCCGAACATATCCGAAATATAAATATATAGCTATAATATATTAGTAATATTTATACTTGTAATAGCCTAAGTGTCTAAATTATTCGGATGTTAAGATATTTTCGGATGTTTTAGCTACTTTTGGTTAGATTAGGGTATAAAATACTTAAAATTTATAGATTTTCTGAGTATTTTCAATACTTTTCATAGAATCGGATACAAATTTTTAAATATTTGGATACTTCGGGTAAACCCGAATCCGAACCCGAAATATCCGATCCAAACCCGATCCGAACCCGAAGTTTTAAAATACCCGAACGAGTCTTAGTTTTCTAAATCCGAAAAACCCGAACCCGAAAAATCCGACCCGAACCCGACCCGAATATCCGAACGCCCATGCCTAATATAGTCCTAAATCTAATAAAGAGACGGATTTTTCTCTGAATACAAGACAATAATACATTTTTTCCTATTTTTTCATTACGTAAAAGCTAATCTATATCACAAACACTTTGGTACTTTTGTTCTTATGAGTTTTTATCTCACATTTTACTACAAATTCTAAGTGTTGAATATGATATTCACAATGTTTTTGGTATTTATGATTTTGATTTCGGTACCAAATTAAAAGAAGATGCTTGTGGTATTTATGATTTTGATTTTATACTGTTTTGTTGATTTTAAGACTTTCGAGTTTTTAATATATAATTTAATATTATTTTTTCCACAATTCTCCTTTTTTTTGAATTTATTAATGTTAAATTATATTCAAAGAGTAAATAAACGTTTATACATCTGGTGCAAACTTTTCTTTAAAAAACTTCTAAAGAGATCTATCTATGGTGTTGTGTCGACACAAAACACATTTGAATCCCTACTACATATCTCTTCACCTCCTCTTTTCAGTGTACTCAAGCGATTGCGAATGTTCTTATCTATAATCTTCCCAATCTTCTCCGTCGTTGAAGGTTGCTCTACATGTCTCCTGTCGTTGCTTTCTCTCCATATGGAGTGGATCACATTCTGAAACACATACCCGATTATGATTCATTTCGTGTTGTCCAAGTCTTTACTCGCAAGAACCTGCATAACCCTCTAGCCATCTTGCCGAGAATTTGTCTAAGAGAAGCCCATTCGCCAGTTCTTCCCACACTTTCCTCGAATAAGGGCATAGAAAGAATAGGTGCTCCCTCGTCTCAATAGGTTCTTGACAAAAAATTAGGCCTGGGCATAATACCCGAACCCGAATAACCGAACCGAACCCGACTCGAAAAACCCGATCCGAACCCGAATCCAAAGTTTTAAAATACCCGAACGGATTCTAAACTTCACAACCCGAAAACCCAAACCCGAACCCGAACAAGTACCCGAACATATCCAAAATATAAGTACATAGTTATAATATATTAGTAATATTTATACTTGTAATAACCTAAGTGCCTAAATTATTCGGATGTTAAGATATTTTCGGGTGTTTTGGCTACTTTGGGGTAGATTCGGGTATAACATACTTGGGTTTTATAGATTTTTTGAGTATTTTTCAATACTTTGCATAGAATCGGATACAAAATTTATAATATTTGGATACTTCGGGTAAACCCGAAATACCCGATCAGAATCCGACCCGAACCCGAAGTTTTAAAATACCCGAACGGATCTTAGTTTTCTAAATCCAAAAAATCCGAACCCGAAAAACCCGATCCGAACCCGACCCGAATATCCGAACGCCCAGGCCTACAAAAAATGCAGCATGTATCCACATTTTCCTTCCATCTAACCATTCTTTCCCCTGTTGCAACTCTGTTTTTCACAACCAACCAAGTAACAAAAGCATACTTTGATGTAGCATTCGAGAACCAGATCTCCTTATGTCCTTGCATCACTGGCTTAGCGATGCAGACTTATGACCATGTTTCTTTGGATAAAAACTTCTGTTGATAGCAATCATTTTTCCCTTTCCAAAGTGCTACATCTGATTCTGTTTCCAGCCTTGCTTGCCTCTGTTTTTGCAGTTCCTCTTCAACCAGATTTAATACCCTTTTTCGATGCTTTCTTTTCCGAGGTTTCTTCATCACTTCATTAAGCATGGTTGCTTTCGGATTACCCCTATCAATGTAGCCACGTTCTCCTAGTGTCTCATGAAGACAACCCAACGAGTTCCATGAGTCATACCGAAAAGAAGTTGTTTCACCATTTTTAACCTCCACGACCCACCTGTTGTGTTGTCTTTCACAGCCCAGAAAAAACCATCTCGTAGTAGATTTTTTTTTAACTCAATCCACCCAAAGGAAACCTTTCGCCGATAGTATCCTCCATATCAGTTTTAACACACACACACTTTCTCCCCTACGTTAATCACTTGGACATTGTTCATTACATCATATAGGGCTGATCCATTAGAAATCTTTGAAAAGTTGTTAATATGATTTCCTCTTCATGTCTAATATCTTTTTTTTTTTCAAATCAGTTCGTCTTCTTTTTATTTTATTTTAGATATGTGTTAGTCATTTGGACATAATTCAACTTTGGCCTTAAAATGTGGTTTGTAATGTTCATGTGTCAACCCGTTCTTATCATAAACATTGCATTGACGACAAACATAATCGAATTTAATAAGTGTTTTTTCTTTTTCCTAACTATAAATAGTATCTTTATCCATATGTGATGGTACAACTTTTTTGATGGTACAAGTTATAACAAAATGAAGACTTGCCTTTGCTAATACAAAGTAGATCCATATGTGAAGCAATCCAAACAAATAAGTAATGAAACCCCAACTGATCATATATATAGGTGACTAGAACTAGAATCTAGGTTTTAATTAGCACCATGCACGTTTTTTGTTGTTTTTTTTTTGTTTTAAGTGAAACAAATACTTTTTAGGATATGTGCCTAAACCAAGTAATCAAGTAGGGTTCTGAGATTGAAGCTTTAGAAGAAGTGGTGCTGCTTAATGGTAGAGAACGATCAAGACCAGCTATTTTGCTTTTGGGAGTGAGTTGAATATCCTTCACTAGTTGATTAGTCGTTTTGGATACTCGAGAGTGAATCCTCACATTCTTCCCGTTCCATATAGTATTGAGTTTTACATTACGAGAAGGAGATCTGTACCCAGCTATACCTTCAAAGCCTCGTTTGCTGGAGAGAATGCCGGATGTGTGTAGAACGATTTTCAAACCTCAGAAGCCACTGTGCAGAAGATGCAATTAGAAGGGACATTCAAACCCCATCCTCTAAGCCGATCATGCATGTTTAGGTATACTCTGAGAGAACCATACATATTTATACTAAGGAACCGACAAGGATGAGGGATGGATAGACTGCCAAGTTCTAGACGAAAAGAAGATACTTGGTGAGCCTTGAAGCAACATATAGTGACACATAACAGAATCAAAATTTCCTGAAATTAAGTACAATTGGAAGATTGTTGGACATGTAGTGTTATTGCGTGAATCATTCCTTTTGAAGCATTCAATTTGAATTGGTTTAAATATGAATGGTGATAACTACGACACTATATGCAAAATCAATAGGTTTATGTTGTGGTCATTTATATCTATACTAGCTTACAACTTCAAATTAAATCTCAAAAATAGAAATAGTTTTAAGTTTTAACCAATAGTAGGCTTATGTTGTTCTTTTCACAGTCGCGGCGACAGCGAAGGCAACACAAAAATTGATAGCCAGAAACTCATTAAATAGACTTAGGATTGAAGATCCATACATCCAGCGACTGTCACTACTTTATAAATGAGTTTGAGAGGCTGCTGCTGGAATTTCCAGCGTCTCTGGAATCACCGGAAAAGAGTCGCAGCGACAGAGAATGAAAGAAAGGAAGAAGATATTAAAGAGAGATGAAAGCTAATTTTGGGTCGCCAATCGCTATCGCTGCGACTTTGAGCCGAACATGGCCATATGTCAAAAATATCCACTATGCTACACTTGAGTCACAAAAAAATATATAGCTAGTTATAATTTGTTTAGTAGCCATCTACAATTTATAGACAAAAATAAGTTTTGATCCCACTATTAAAATGATTAAATTCCATAAAGTAAGATTTAGGTTTTTTTTCTTGGTTTTCTGCAAGGTCAGATATTTTTTTTATATCAAGGTCCGATAGTTGATATACGAGATGAGACATAATAGGGTTTTAGGAGACGAATCTCAATGAAATTACTCAACAATAATAACAAACTCATACCATTATAAGCACAAAACATGGACAAAATTACTTCAATAAATACATGATCTTGTTCTTGTGTATTGAATTCAAAATATATAGTAAGATTTATTAATCAACTGGAATTATCATATACAACGTCATGTGTATATATATGAATATATAATATCATTGCAAGTCTCATGTAGAAGAAGGATCAATATAAAGGGACGTCGTCATGTGAGGTTAAACCTACGCATCTCGTCTGCACCGGTTAATTCCACCGCAACCACGACTATATTTGTGAACAGGGACACGGGGTTTTTGGTGGGAATTGTGAGGATGACATCCCGCTGGAGGAGTAGGACCACGGCACCGGTCAAGCACGCCTGGATGTAAATACTTTCGGGCTTTGCGAGCCTCTGATTGCTCCACCATCACAGCGACACAAATCACCAACAAGATTATCATCCATGCCTTCATTTTTAGTCAATTAATATGTTGATCCTTCTTCTTGAGGCCTTTGTTTCTGCGAATTAGGAGAAAAGTGGATTCATATATAGAGAGCTTATAGCAAACTCTAAATTTAGCTAATCCATATTTGAGGAAACCACAAGATGTTAAAATAGAATTTTGAAGATATATACTTCCAGGTTGTTTTTTGTTTTGACTTCATGTCTTAGCAGTTAGCAAGTCAATGGATACCTAGCTAGTCTTATTTGTTTTCATTTGGCATATGCAAATATACATCAAGAGCCTTGGTTCCTCTCTTATGGTTACTTGGTTCTCTCTGTTTCAAGAGCCTTAGCACCAGGTAAGCGTCTGTTCTCTGTCCTTTGTTTTTGAGGTCCTTTTGTCTCTTTGGGCCTTCTACTGTTTTTTATTTCCGGTTTATGTATGGGCCTTGTGGCCGTCATGGGCCTACGGGCTGTGTATCTTTCTCTTTTATTGGAAATTTAAAGTTAAAAAAAAAAAAAAAATTTATACATCAATGACGGATAATCCATTTAGACGGAGAAAAAATTCCAATGTTACGGTTAAAGGCTAGAAATTGAGTATAATATAGCATTTCGTTATTCTTTGGTAAGTCCGCTTTACTTTGATTCTCTATCAACCTAATGTCAAAGGAAAGGATCACTATGGATAGTTGTCCACTTTATCTCAAACTTTTTTCTCCATAAATAGTGACTAACAATTTTTTGCTATTTTCAAAGAGAAATACGAATGTTTGCAAACTTTTTTCTCCATAAATAGAAGTTCCAGACCTACGCTTATACATTTTCTAGAGTCGGGATCAACATTGAACATATATTATCCCTTCTAACGTAAATCGAAATCGTGTCCTTTTGGAATGTTTACATTTTCGGCTTACCTAGATTTAACCATTGGTCCAACCCCATGTTAATAAACACGAATATTTGCAAACTGAACATTACCATTTCAATTGTGACGTGAAATTCGAAATTATTTGCTTATTTTACCTCCACTCATCAACTCGCATGCATTAGCAGACGTAGTGAAAGAAGAATTGGGTGCGCATGCCCCGAGTCAAATTCTAGATAAAATTATTTGGATTGTAATTTTTGATGACTTTTGATAGTAAAATAGTTAAAATTGAATATCTATGTGACTATATATGTCCCCATTAAATTTTGGTTCAATCTTTTGCTTGCCCCAAGCTCCTATTTTTTTTGTCTTTTCTAGCCACCGTTAGATTATTGCTTTTAATGACCATCAGAATGATTTATTTTTTTTACAAAAATATTATTTTGAGAAGAAAGAAACTAAAGTTGACATTTACTTTTATATTTCTTAACTTAGTGTTACATTTGTTCTTTGACAAAAAAAAAAAAAAAGTGTTACATTCCCTTTGTTTTAAAAGTTACAAAATCTTAGAATGTGATTCTTTTTCTCCCAAAAATGTTGTTTTAACTAAACAAATAAGTTGTTGATAAAAAAAAAACAAAAAACAAATAAGTTAACCATTATGCTTTCATCTATATATACATTTTTGGAGACATTTATGAAATAAATCCTATAGTTCCAATTTATTTACGATCAAATGCCATTGACATTAATTATTTAGATTTTCAAAATTAAATGAAAGATATTAACATTAAAAATCATTTCCAAAAATCTTAACCTAATATATTAAGCATAACTAATTCTTGCCACAATTACATCCATATTCAATTCGATTTCCTTAAAAGATCTCAACAATCCCTACATTTAATCGTAGCCATTCAAATCTTAATCCGGTTTTTAATCTTCAATCTTGACCGTCGGTCATACGCAATTAATTCAGAAATTATTATATAGTATTAATTATTATTAACTAAAATTTAAAAATATATATATAAAATCAAACTTTTAAATTGACTCAAATTATATGTCTATTAAATAAAATATTATTAAAAATAACAAAATGATGTTTAATTTCACGGGACGAGGTTATATAGTGGGACGGGTTTGGATCGATATTAATACGGGATGGTATTAATATCACAGATGAAATCTTAAAATTAACAATCAAAATACAATTAAACAATCTTAAACACTTAACAAAATAAACAATATTAAAAAATACTATTTAAAATTTAATTTTTTAGTTAAAAAATCGACACACGGTGTACCGCGGGGTAAACTCTAGTGTATATGCTAACTTTTCTTTCCATATGTGCATGTATAGGATTTCTATAACATTTTATACAAAATTAATCAATATAAAAAGTTGGTAATAGAGTGAGGGCTCGTTAAAAGTGAGAGAGGGGAAGAGGACCGGGGAAGTTAGAGTAAAAACAGGATTTATTTGAAACTCATTTTCAACAAATATATTTGATTGTGTTTATGTATTAAAATATTATGATAATATATTCAAATATATGAATTATTACACAAAATTAACTATGTTTTAAAGTTATATCGTAAATATTTTCGAAAGATGTTAAAAACATTTATGAATAAAATGTAAAAAAGAAGAATTATGATTAAAACACTATTGAAATTTTTTTAAGAATGTAAAATTATTTATAAGTGACAAAATACATAACGAAGAATTATAATATATATATATATATATATATGAGAAATTCTAGCAGGTCAAAACCCATACATTCGGATGGAGTCGGTACTCAGAATGACTTGTGGGTGCCTAAGAACTTCGCCCGAGAATTGGTGTTTTTGTTTGTCCACTGTTGTGGATGTCGGATTCACACACTCAAGTATTTTGTTAAGCGGGAAAGATTATTCTTGAGGGACAAAAATGAATATGTAAAAACTTATAAAATTGATACGAAAATTGCTATAGTATTTCTCTCTTTTGAGGAAGATCCCCTTTACATGGCCATTGGCCTCTATATTTATACATAGATAAACGACATTAAAATGAGCATTTAAGTACAATTATTCCTTCTTAAATGTGTCCGTTTTGATTCTTCGACTTTAATGCTCAACGTTTGAATTTGAGTTGACTCTGATCTTCATGGGCCTCGCCTCCTTTGGCCCAAGTGTCTTCGAACCGACTTACCCGTGTCTTCTACACCGAACTCGTGTCACAGTGCAGTCACTTCGGATTATCGAAATGGTGACAACCACTTCGACCGTCCCTTCGGCTCATGGGTCTAATGGGCTTCATCCTTTATGGGCCATTATCTTGATTACGTGGCAATCTTTGGTTGGTCTCGTACTTCTGGTACGGGATCCGACACCAACAATTAGCCCCCCAAGTTCTTCGAAGTGCTATTCCAATTCGGAGGACTTTAAATGCTCAAGTGGCCAAAGATTGCGCTCGAGAATCTTTCTGATTTCCCGCCGAAAATCTCATCACTCCTTTAATTTTGGCACTATCCATTTTTAACCGAGTGACATCTGTCATCATTATGACCGTATATTGATTAATTACTATTAAAACGGGAAAAACCTTCCCACTTCCCACACGACTTCCGAGGCGGTTTCATCATTAGCTTGAGGTAACTTCTTTTCACCATTACTCTCTTCTTTTTACTTTTGTACTTTAATCAAAAACTCTCTCTTTTCTTCTTCACGAAAAACCTCTCTTCGCCGGATCTTGAATTTTTCATTTTTATTCGATGACTTCTGATTCCGAAAGACCTGAATCTCCGTCTTACGACGAGAGGCGTTCTAGTAATGACGAATGCACTCGTCCTAACGACATCGCCGGTCCTCATTACAAATCCACCTGTACTCTTCAATCCCTTGAGCGATTGAAGGGGCTTTGTCAAATTCCTCCTGGAATTATAGCGGAGGCGCAAATAGCCGACCCTACGGAATCTCCTGAGAACCACCGTGCCGGCTACTTTTGTGTTTACGAAATTTACTTCAAGGGCTGCGGATTGACCTTCCCCCTTCCCGAAGCCCTAGTTCGATTCTTGGCGGCTCTTGAGATCGCTTTACCTCAATTAACCCCCAATCTCCTCCGAACCATCCTCGGGATTATAACCGTTGCGGCGGAGGCTGGCTACGTCATTGGAGTCCCCGAGCTGAATGAACTCCTAAGCGTAAGGAGTTCATCAAAGAAAACTGGGTACTTCTCGGCGTATCCAAATGCCAATAGAAACGTCATCTCGCACCTCCCGAACAAGGATGAGAACTGGCACCATCCTTGGTTTCTGATTAAGAAAACTCCTGCTTCGATTGGGAATCTTTCCGATGTACTCCCATCGAAGTGGTCTGCGAAACCTGGTAGAGACTAGGTCGTATATTCCTTTATTGTTTATTATTATTTTTTACTGACCGAATTCGTTGTTTCATCTCGCAGCTTTCATCGCTTCAACTCTCCCGACTGAAGAATTTGTCGAGTTCTTCAAA